CCCCCCGCCCGCGCCCTCCTGCTCGCCCTGGCCGGGGCTCTGCTCGCGCCCCGCGCGGCCCGAGGTAAGTCTCCGAGCCCATCCGGCTCCCTGCCGGTTTCCGCCCACTCTCCTCTCCTGCCCGCCGTCCGGGGTCCTGCGCTGGCTGGGGTCTCGCCCCTCGGGGGCACCTCGCGCAGCACTGGGGGGACGCCGAGCGGCGGGGCTGCCCCGCGAGGTGGCGCACCCGGGCGCAGCTGCGGAGCCCCCCCCCACCTCGGCGCGGAGAGGACCCCCCTCAGGTGCCACTTCCCAGGAGGAGGAGGGAGCACTTGGCTCGGGGCCCGGAAGCCGCCAGCGCGGAGCTCGGACGGCACTGCCTCGGGCTGCACCCCCGTCCCCTCCCCTGTCGGTTGTCATTTGCTAGGATGACTCTCTGTGTCTTGACAGTTACACGTGTCGCCCGGGATGATGCGCGTCGGGTCATCTTACTGCCCCTGTCCCTTAGTGACCCCCCTCCCCAGGCTCGGGGTCAACGCTCCGTGAGGTTCCCTTTCCACCCCTGCCTCCCCCGTGGGTACACTTGGGGGACGCGCACTAACCACGCAGGTGAGCCAGCCCTTCTCCGCAGGTGTGCCTGCTGTGTTCCACGGTCTCCATTTTTAAAAAGTGACTCTTTTGCCTGCTTCTTTAGTTTTCTTTTCCTCTTTTTTAAATTCCGGATCGCTCACTAGTTGTCAGTGGCGGCCAAACTTTAGCAGAATTTTTCCGCCTCTCGCCACTCCGTCACTTTCTCGGCCATAAATAATCTTAAATCAACCTTGTGTAAAGCGACAACTCATTTCGAAGTTAAACTAAAGTGTGGATATTATACTTGTTTTATAGATCTAGATTTTCCAAAATTGTATCCTCTTAAAATTGGGCACCTGTGGATCCTTTCTTTTTGCATAATGAGGACTCACCCAGCAGGTGCCTTGTTAAAAATGCAGAAGCTTCCCTGTATCTCCGCCACCGCCGCCATCCTCCTTCTGCCGCGAGAGGCGCTGTCGGTCTACCGATGGATGACTTGCCTTGGCCTCCAAGTCTAAATTTCTATGATTCTATATAACAGACATTTATTTTTCAACAAACTGGCCTCAATCACCGACCGTTACCACTTTATGGTACGTTTTATTTTGCAATTGTCACTGCTACCCTCCACCCCCACCGCATCTACTGTAATGTGGCTAAAAGCCAATTCTCGTTCAAATCCACACAGCAATGAGGACCAATTTGGGAATTAATGATTCAATAAGAGGATTGCACAAAGTAATGAAGAGCAGTGAGAAAGCCAAGACAGAATACTGCTGACTGTTCAGTGAAAGAACTCTATGACCTGCAAATGAAAATAATAGTAGTCAAAAGTGTTTTGAAAGACTTTTGTACAAATTGGTCCTTTTGAATGTTTATTGAGGAAGAACTTTATAAAAACTGAAACAGAATCTCAAAGTGTGCCTGAGGTGGTCTTTGACTTGGCACATGCTCTGTACACATAAACAGAAGTCCACTGAGCATGGACAATATTATTTTTCTTTAGAGGAAAATGTTTACTAAATCATGCTAACAATGGGAAATTATTTCATGGAGTGGGGGACTATTATTTTGTGACTGCAGCTTTGGTGGAGAGAGTTTTTCCTTGGGATAGATGTGACTCAAAATAGAAAACCATTTAGGCCTAAACATTTTGAGTGGGTTACCTGTTGTAATATCCCAGGATTCACTGTTTACCCTTGGATTCTCCGTATCAAGTCTTAATCAGTGCACCAAATCATAGCTTCGAGGTTGTTTAAAAATCCAAACATATAATGAAACATTTCTTTGTGTTGGCAAGAGAAAAGGAAGAATTCCACTTGTTGAAGGCAGAGCATATTCTGGGCTTTGTCTCTCTGTCTCTCTGTCTCTCCCAGAACAGTTGCCTGCTTGGTACCCTTCAGTGGCATCTCAGTCCTAACAGGTCCAAAACAGAACCCTAGATCCCAAACCCTCCACTCCTGAATCCATTCCTCCCCCAGTCTTCCAAACTCAACAATAGCATCCTCTGCCTTCTCCAGATTCCTCAGGCTAACACCTAGAAAGTCATCCATGAGTATCCCCTTTCCCTTCACAAACCGTCGACTTCCAAAATGTATTCCATCTACCCACTTCTCCCCATTTCAAAGCGTGCCTTCCCCCAACCCAGGCCATTTCTTTTCCTTCTTTTTATCTCTTTTGCAGAAGCCTCTTATCCCTAGTATAATAGCATCCTAACTGGTCTTCTGGCTTTCCCTCTTGTCCCTGCACAGTGTATTCTCCCCAGCACCACAGCCAAAGTCATCATTTTCAGTCATGAGTTGGATCACGCTGGTTTCCTGTTTAAAAGTCTCCAGTGGCTTTCTATGGCTCTTAGGAAAATCTAAACCTCTGGATAACCTGATCTCTGTTTTCCTCTATGATCTCCTTTCTTACTGTTCTCCCTGTTGCTCATCGTACTCCAGCCGCACTGGCTTCTCTTCTCTCCAACTTTCCAATATAATATTGCCATAATTTTTTAAAAACAATGTTCAGTGTTTGCACTGTGAAGACTTTGCAAATACTGTTCACAGTTGAGTCACACACTGTCCTATAATTCCATTTCATCCTTCTTACAACTTTTTGTTTTTCCTAGAGTTAATAATTGCTTTGTTTTTGTTTTTTTACTGTTTTGCCTTGCTTCCTGTGTACTGGTCTCTAGTTTACCTCCAAACCTTTTGGGAGAATTATTAAGCTCCTTTCAGTATGATCAAACACATCAGGTAATCTATCCATTATTTATTTTTTCTTGGTGTTCTGTCTCCTGGAGCCCTTTATCCTCCTGTTCCAATATAAACCGGTTACTTTTTAGGCATGCAGTACAGCTGTTGTCGCAGGACTACCCTATTACCAAGATGCTAGAAATTCCTCTTGCATCCTTCTTGGGTTGAATCAATTGTTTTCTGAGCTTCATAACTTTTCTCTTCCTTAGTTTCTTCCTTATTTTTGTGGAGTACATCTTCTGGTGACTTCCTGAGGAAGGGTGTATGGGAGATAAAAATTTTTTGCCAACCCGTCAGGAACACTTTCTGTTGCAAATAATGGAGAACCTGACGACAGCAATTTTTTAAAGTTTTTTTTTTTTCTTTACATAACAAGCAGTTGTGAAGTCAGCAGTGTACTATCGAGTCAGTGATACCATCAGAGACCCAAGCTCTTACTTTTGTTTGTATTTGCCATACTTGTATGTTAACTTTTGCCTTTATGCCTACTGCCTCAAGGTCTCATGAAGGCTGCTGTACCTCTTGGCATTATATCTGCATTCCAGGCAGTAATAGGGCAGAAGAGGCAAAAACGCAGAGCCAGCAAAATCTATTTTATCAGGAAAATAAGACTATTTCCAGAAACCTTTGTAGCAGATTTTCTTGGCCAGACTGTGACACAGGGCCACTGCCAGCTGCATGGGAAAATACAAAAGTAAATATTTTTAGCTGTACACATTGGTGTTTCAAATAAAACACAGTTCTGTGAGTTGAAGGTTGGAATATGTGTCTGCTATACCTTATGTACAAATATGTATATTCCACCCTTGACTGCTGGTTTGTTTAGATATAAAATTCTGGGGTGGAAGTCGTATTTCCTCCGTATTTTATAAGACGTTTCTTCATTGCCTTTATGCCCGTTGCTGCTTGAGAGCTTGATGGTACGCTGTCAATCCTTTAAATGTAGGCTGTTTTTCTTTCTGGAAGGTTTTATCATCTTTTTATCCCTGGTAATTTTATATTTCATGATGATATGCTTTAGCAGAGTTCTTAGCAGTTATCGTGCTGGGAATTCTGTGGGCTCTTTCGGTTTGAAAACTCATGCTGTAAAGTTTCCAGTACACTTTCTTGTATTATTTCTTCGTCACTGTTTTTACCATGCTTTTCTGAAACTGCTATTAGCTGGATGTCCCGACCTCCTGAAAACATCCTCTCATTTTCTTATCTATTTTTCATCTTTGTATTTTTGTTCTACTTTCTGGGAGAGTTTGTTTAATTACATTTGCCAACCCTGCTATTCAAGTTATTTACTTCTGCTAACAGATATTTAATTTCCAGGAGCTGTTTTTTGTTCTATGAATGTTCCCTTTGTTGTTTTTTTGTTCTTTATAAGAGATGCCATATTTCTATGAACTCTTAGAGTGTGTTAATTTTTATTTTTTAAGCATTCTTTTGCTCACTTCATTCTGATTATTTGCTCTCACATTCTTCCTCACCCCGGTTTTATAGTCTCCGCCTTTCTTCAAGTGTCTGAATTTCGGCTCTCTGTTTATATTTAATAATGAGACACTGAAAAGCTGATTGAAAGTTCTGTGTGTTTCAAAAGCACACATTTTGTTGCAGGAAGCTTCATGCCTCATTGACTATGTCTTTTTTCTTAAGGCAGGGTCTGTGAGCCAGGTAGGGGAACAGAGTTAAGGGAATGTCTCATCTTTAAGTGTGCTTTGCATTTTTTTTTTCCTAATTCTTTTGTTTTCAGTTTGGCACCTTGCTACCCCTCCCCACTCTCAGCTATGCCTGGGGTCCCTAAGTATAGAACTTCTCTGCTTCACTGTCTCCAGAAAAGACAACTTCTAGTCTGTCGGAGAGGGAGGGGCATTCACCTAGCTCTGCTGGCTTTGCATGGGACTTGGGGCTCTAATTTCTCCTTGGATGTTTCAGCCCAGCCTGTACTGGCCCTCAGAGATGCCCAGGGCCTCCCATTCCCAAGCCTTTCTGGGATTCTGCTCATCCATGTCACCTTCCTGATGGCTTCCCTGCTCTCCAGGCAACAGCATTCCAGCACTCTCTTCTCTGCTGAGTAGATAACCACTCGTCTAACCTCTTCCATCTTCCAAAGCTTTGTTGCTTTCTCCTACGTGTTGTTATCTTCTCTCCAATTCTTTTTTAAATTCTTATTGTTATTATTATTCCTTATGGTAGGGTTTCAGGAGGGAGTGCAGACGAACACCCGTGGGTCTGCCACGTACATATAGAAGTCAGCCCTTGCTCTTATGACCACACTCCACAGATGGACGTGTTTCCTTTCTCTCACTTGTCCTTTGACTCTTTCTATCCCTTCCTTGTGGAAACAAACATTATATGCATTTTTAAATGTTTCAAAACTTTCTCTTCAAACTCTATAAATACTCAAAGTTAGCATATATCTAATTAGATAGATGTTGCAGCTATGGAAATTGTAAAACTTTCTTTTTGGTAAGGGATGCAAGTACATCATCTGAAAAAGCTAAGCATATTTCTTCCTGGTGTAGATGATGCTATAATGAATGCATTACAGTTGTGAAAAAGATTTTTTTGTTTTTGTATCAGAGTCTGTTCCAGAGGCCTTTTTAAGCTAAATTGTTCCTGCAGTATCTATGATTTATAAAGACAGGTGTGAGAAACATTTTCAGATGTTTCTTTCGTACCAAATGGCTAGCCCCTTAGCCCTTTGGCTGTGCGCCCACTGGGAGCTGTATTAAACAGCTCTGTAGTATGTAAAAGTCTTTAATTATCAGTTCTCTGGGATTGAGAAGGTGAAGTTGATATAATCTAGACAAAACGTTTAAGAAAATAGTTTCTGTGCATTTTGAGTAGCTGTTTCTTTATGTGTGTTTGTTTAGTATTTTATTAAACCTAAAGTTTTTATACCAGCACATAGTTACTTAAAAACGCATTTATTGAGTGCTTTGGTGCCAGGAGCTGTTCTAAGATCTTTGCGTGCACTTTCTCATACAGTCCTCATGGAGGAATACCACAGTGGGCCCGGTTGTTACCCTCCCTCTACAGAGGAGGAACCCACAGCTTCAGATGCTGAGTATCTGCCAAGTGGCAGATGCAGGGTGCTTTCTAGGCGGTCTCATGATGGAGTTGGGGTCTTCACCGAGCCATGGTAAACATTTTGTAATCTATGAACTCTGTCTTTGGAATAATTACAGTGTCTATAGCAATAAGATTGTAATTTAGTTTGGTTTTAAACAGAATGATAATGCAGTTCAAATAAACTTTGCTAATCAAAATGTGTGCGCTGAGTATCGTGCTTTCTGACGCTGCCATTTCAATCCTCAAGCTTTCTCCAGCTCATTTTTCATTCTGCTTCCTTGTGCTTTATGTAATGCCCAATATACCTTGCCTCCAACTGATAGATGGGATGGAGAAGCCGAATAATTCAACATCATATTGATATTTTTTATCCTTTAAGCTTTTATGTCATCCCAAGGCTACATTAAGAGCTCAGCCTCCAGACAACTGCTTAAAAAATCAGGCAGTCTCCTCGGACACACTCTGGACCATCCATCTGTTCACCTGCTTCTGGGAGCTTTGGCCTCCCCAGTCAGTCTAGATGATCCATTCTTAGAACTGTTAATCGACCCTGACATGTCTTTCCTCTGCAGGGCGGTGGTGAGCGCTGGCCTGCAATTTGACGAAAAGATTCCTTGTTTTGTGTTTTGCTGTATTTGTAATGAAAGCCAAGATAGGATTTAAGCATTTATCGTGAGATCTATGCTCACATGAATCTGAATATCATCTGAGAACCTGGTTTTGCTTTTTTTTTTTCGTTTTTTAAATCCTGGGATTTTTAGTAGTATTTTTGGGAGCCTGCAATAGGGTTTAAGTCTGTGTTATATCTCAGAGTGCAGTTGTACTCCAGTTTATGGAATAGATGTATTCCTGAAGTGAGGGATCCTAAGTAAAATTTCTAAACTAAAATCATTTTTTCAGCCAATTTCAGTATAATTTGAGATGATCATGCAAAAGAAGATTGAAAAAGAATTTTGGCTCCCATCATCCATTCTCTTATAAAATTTGAACTATCTTAAAAGTGGAAAAAAGGACATAGAATAAATTACACACTCATACTCTTGCCAACCAGATTTTAATATATATGCTTCAGAATTTTTAAAATTTAAATATATAAGATGTTTAAGATATATTTATAACAATCCTCTATTCTCCCTTTCTATCCAATTCCTCCTCCTTCTGCAGAAGCAACCACTATTCTGAAGCTGGTGGGTTTATATGTATATACATCTCCCTAATCAATATTTGATATTGTTTTTGTACTTAAATATTATATAAATGGTACCCTACTATACGCAAGAGCCTTCTGCAATTTGCTTTTTTAAAATCAATATATTTTAAAAGATTTATTCATGTTGATACATGTGCTTGCTTCATTCCTTTTAGTTGAATGACTAAACCGTAAATTGTTCATTCTAGTGATAAATATGTTTTCCCCAACTTTTTGATATTGCCATGGTGCAAGGATACTTGTACCTATCTCCTTACACACAGGCATGAGCTCTAGCAAATCTGTCACAAATGGATGGTTGAGATACAGAGTATGCCAATTTTCTACATTAATATATTTTGCTCTATTGCTTTCTAAATTGCTTGTACCAATTTACATGCCTCCTTGTTAGAGAGTTCTGGTTACCCACATTTTTGCAAATTCTTGGCTGTTCAGACTTTTAAATGTTGCCAAGCTGGATGTAAAATATTCATTGTCTTCATTGGCATCTTTCTGATTACTAGGGACTCTAAGACTCTTTATGTATTTATATTATTCTTTGTGTTTCTTCTTTGAATTACATATTCTTATCATTTGCCCATTTTTCTTGAGTTTAGTTTAAGAAATCCCTCTCTCTTTCCTAAGCTCCAAGAGAGATTTCTTTTTATAATTTTTTCTAAATTTTAACTTTTTGCTGTTCACCTTTAGTATAACTGGAATTTATTTTTTATTTGTTGTATGAGATCAGCATCTGTTTTTTCCCTATGTAGATAACCAGTCATCCTAGTAACATTTATTGAATGCTTTCCCTCTCTAATAAACACCAAGTGTAGACAGATAGGCTTCTGGGTTCCTTGTTCCGTTGGACTATTGATTTATCCTGTTTCCAGTATCATACTGCTTTCAGTATTCTGTACTTTATAATAAATCCTAAGTGTTTAGATTGGTTGGTGTGTAGAGGGCAGACACTGAGATCTGCTTGCTGGGGTTTGCATGTCAGCTCTGCCATCTTGTTACTAACCTGTGACCTTGGGAAAGTGACCAGCATGCTGTGTTGTGGGGACTTCCCCAGGGTCAGCACTGAGAATCCCTGGTCCCAGGAACCCCTCAGTGCTGGGCACACCGGGTGGGTGGTCACCCTAAACCACAGACAAATTACGTGATCTTTTTCCCCAGTGTCTCCCTCTATGAAATGGTGATGGTATATTGTCTGCCCCACAGCGGTGTGGGCAGGATTAATGAGATGACACAGGGAAAGGGCTTTGAACACTGCCTGGACCATGCTAAGTGCTCAAAAAGGGTTAATTTCCCCTTCTCTCCTTTCCTCTCCTTTAAAATTGTCTTGACTATTCTCGAAACATTAGTGTTTCATATAAACTTGAGAATCTTCTTGCAAATTTCTGCAGAATACCGTATAGGAACTTATAGATTAATTTGGAGGAGCATTGACATCCTCATGACATCAAAGCTTCCCGTCAGGAATATGGTCATTTCTTTACTTATATGATTTCTTTAATGTTATTCAATAAGTTTTAAATAATTTTCTCTCTAAAGTTCTTACACATCTTTGTAAGATATATTTCGAGGTACCCTAAGTACCTAATAGATTTGTTGTTATTCTGAATGGTGTCACTGTTTTTATTTTTAGATTTTAACTTTTTAATGTGGAAAATTTTAAACTATACAAAAGAAGACCAACTGGTATGATGAATACACATGTCTGTTACTCAGTTTTTACAAGTACGAGCTCTTGGCTATTTTTGTTTTATCTGTGGAATTATATCTTTTTTCAAAGTTCTAATTGATGTTTTCTTTTCAGTATAAATGAATGTTACTGATTTTTATATTTTGATTTTGAATTCAGCAACCTTGCTCTATTTTTATTAGTTCTAATAGTTTGTAGATGACAGCATAGAAATTCTAAGAGAATTATTACCTGAAAATGATGATAAATTTTGTTTTTTCCTTCACAGTTCTTATGCATTCTACTTCTTCTATTGGCTAGCACCTCCATTACAGTGACAAACAAAAGTGACTGCAAGTGTCCTTGGTTTTTTTTTCAGGTTTAATGAGAATAACTTTAGCTTTTCACCACTGATTAAGATGTTTACTGCAAAATTTTGTTAGATGCATTTTATCAGGTTAAGAACATTTCCGTACGCTGTTAGTTGGCTAACAGGTTTTCTCTTTAACGTATATAAATGGTTGCTTAATTTTTTCAGACTTTTCCTCAGCATCTGTTGATATGAGCACTTGCTCATTTGTTGTTGATTTTTTCCCTCCTCTATTCTGTTACTAATGTAATGCTATTACTACTAATGCGTTACACTAGTCGATTTTATGTTGTTAAACCATCCTTGAACAGCTAGGGTAAATCCTCCATGATTTGGATGCATTTTATAAATACAATGTTGGATTCCATTTACTAAGAATTTAGCCCCTCTAGGGCAATGTTCATAACCGACATTGGTCTCTAATTTTCTATTCTCTAAATCTCTTGGTTTAGTTTTCATTTTAAAGCTATCCTATTAGCCTCATAAAGTGAGTTAGGGAGCTTTACGTCTTTTTCTATTCCTAAGGCAGCTTAGGTATAAGAGGTTCTTTTTTCCTTAGCAGTCGTTGGAACTTAATATCATTAGGATGTGATGCTTTTTGTTTTTTTAGCAGAAATCTGACAGTTGATTCAATCTCCTCAATGGTTATAGTGCTATTCGTATTTTCTCTTTCTTTCTGAAATAATTTTGTTGCTTTTTTTCTTTTGTAGATCATTTATTTTTGTTTTCTATTTCATTAAATTTTGTCCCTTTCTTCTACTTTCCTGGAGTTTTTGCTGTTGTTCTATTTCTATTTCTCCCTTCTCTTGAAAGCTTAGCTCTGTCATTTTCAATCATCCTTCTCTTCTGTTATATCCACAAAGGGGGACATTTCCCCTCCGATTCCTGCTGTCACTGGTGCACGTTTTTAGTTTTGTGTTATCATCCAGCCCAAAACAATCTATAACTTGAATTATGATTTTTCTGATTACTAAGTTATTTAGACATGTTTTGATTGGTGTATGTGTATGTGCGTTTTACTTACCAAATGCTTGGGATAAGGTTAGTTATCTTTGTTATTGATCTCTGATTTTAGTGCACTGGTGTCAAAGAAAGTGATCTGTATCCTGTTGACTCTCATATATTTGAATTTTTCTTTATGAGCTAATACACAGTTATTTTTTGTAAAAATTACATGTGTGTTTGAAAATAATGTATATGTGCTAAGTATTGGGTATGGGGTTCTAAATATGTCAGTTAGATTAAGCTTGTTAACTGATGTCAAATCTTAATTATGATGACTTTTTGGTTCAATATTTCTGTTTCTAAGAGAGGTTTTAAGAATCTAATATAATCATGGATTTTCCATTTTTCTTTGTAATTTTGTCGGGTTTTTTTGTTATACATTTTGAGGCTGGTTTGTTGGCTCCATTCAACTGTGTACAGCTTCAGATTTGTCTAAGACATATATTAGTGTATCACTTTTCTTTTGTTTGATACTTTTCTGGTATATCTTTTCCTATCTCTTCACTTTCAGATTTCCCATTATATTTCACGTGTCTGTTGTAAACAGAATACGCCTGGATTTTTAAAACTTTATAATTACTGCCTTTTAATTAACTAGTTTCGTCCATTCACGTTTATTGTGACCTTTGATATTTTTAAATTCTCCTTCTATTTTGTTGTCTATTTACCATTGCTATTTTTAGATTCTTTTTCTTCTTTTCTCTCTCCTGTTATATTGCTGAAGGATTATTTATACCCACTTCTCTCCAGGTCTGTGAACTTAGAGGTCATATATGCTGTTTCCACATTTTCAGTAGTGCTGTTAAATTTTTAACATTTGTACTTCAGGTAGTAATTCTAAAGGTCGTCAAAACTCTGGCCTCCTCCCAAACAATTCTACAGGCTGAGCATGCTGGAATGCATTTTTATTACTCCTCCCATTTATTAATATTGTTGGCTAGCATTTTAGTTCTGCCACTTTGAAACACATCTCTCATCAAAAAATGCAGTGAGGTGGTAGTAGGCTTTGTTTTTATTTTTAATGGTCAGGCTTATTTTGATGTATCTAATGTAACCAGCTCTTTTTTTTCCATCATGGCTTCTTGCAAGCCTCTTTTGCCTTCTTGGATTCAGTTTGCTTCTTATCAAAGTAGTGTTGCTTGGAAGGACTATGAGTAGAAAACTCTCTGTATTTGTCTGCCTGGAAAATGTTTGCTTTCTCTTTTTTATGAATGTTAGGTTAACTATATATAGAATTCTAGGTTGACAGTTATATATATTTTTTAGCAGATATTATCTATGGTATCCTGGCCTCTACTGTTACTGTTGAGAAGTCTTTAATGATTTAATTTTCTTAACTTTAGTTTAAGTTTAATGATTGTTCTTTTGCACTAAATTTGCCTTTTTCTCTGGTTGCTCTTTTTTTTTTTGTGAGGAAGACCGGCCCTGAGCTAACATCTATTGCCAATCCTCCTCCTTTTTTTCCCTTTTTCTCCCCAAAGCCCCAGTAGATAGTTGTATGTCATAGTTGCACATCCTTCTAGTTACTGTATGTGGGACGTGGCCTCAGCATGGCCAGAGAAGCGGTGCATCGGTGTGCGCCCGGGATCTGAACCGGGCCGCCAGCAGTGGAGCATGTGAACTTAACCGCTAAGCCACGTGGTCGGCCCCTCTGGTTGCTTTTAAAGATAGTTCTTTGTGTTTTTTTTCTGTGGTTCTGTAGTTTTATTATCATGTTTTTTGAAATGGATTTCTTTTTAATTTATGTACATCTGGCCTTGCTGTGCTTCTTGAATCCAATCAATTATAAAAAGTTCTTAGCCATTATCTCTTCAATTACTGTCTTGACCTAATTTTCTCTATAATCTCCTTTGGACTTTTCTTGTATGTAGTTGGACCTTATCGTTCAGTCATCCTGTTTTTAACTTCTCTTTGTCTCTTTATCACTCTGCTTTATATTTTGGGTGATGTCTCCAAGTCTAAATTCCATTTCACAATTCTCTCTTGAGCCATGTCTAAATTGCTGCTTAAATTGTCTGTGGACTTACTTTTCATTTTCCAATGCCTTAAATTTTTCATTTATCAAAGCTTTATTTTGTTCTCTTTCCAACCTGCTAGATGTTTTAAAAATAGTGTCCTTTCATTATCTTCCTTTATGGTTTCTGTGCATTCTTCTATGTCTTTAAAACTTTTGGACGTATATGCTGTTATCCCTTTCAGATTATTCTCTTATCTCTAGTTCCTAGGGTACTGAATCTGTATTATCATAGATTATCTCTTCCAAAGCCTTGCAATTTTGAATTGTGAACTCATTTTCAGCTTTTTCCCCTCTACCACTCCCCCCTCCATGGGAGTGCTATGCACCTTGGATTAGGAAAGATCCAGTGGAGCAGAGTTTGTTTACTGATGATAGGTGTTTCAAGGATTTCACTCATCTGAGCCCAGTTTTTATGTTAATTTCTCATCTTGGGAATTTTCTACCCCAAGTGTATTATAATTTTGGTCTTCACACCCATGTGGCAAAGGCCTGAAATTTTGATTTCTCTTGGGAGACTGCCTAACTCTCACAAGCTCTCTAGGTAGATATAGCAACTTTGCAGTTTCCCTGGGGCATTTGGTAGAGTTTTTCTAACCCCTCGAACTTGGGAAAGACAGTCCTGCAGGGTCCTGGCTTTATGCAAGAGTCTCAGGTCCAGTTCCCCATCTCTTGTGTTCCAGATCATACCTCCTGTCATTAAAATTCCAGCTCCTAGACTGAAGTATCTGCTGGGTCTCCTGGATTTCAGGGCATTGGCAGTGTTTGAACGCCCTGGCTTTTAATGCTCTGGCTATGAATTCCCTTTTTATTTATGGATTCTGGTAATTTCCTTTTGTTCTAGTTTAGTTATGTATGTACTATAAAAATGTCACCTTGTATTTAGCATTTTTATGTGTTTGTAGTGGGAAGGTTTTCTATCTGCATCAGTTCAGTCCCCCATGCTTTCAGAACTAGGAGTCCGCAACATTGATTCTGTGGTTATCTTAGTCAACAAATTTATTTGCCTACTGTAATCCTAGATTTGTGCCAGGAGCTGGGGATATGACAGTGAGGACAACAGACACAGACTCTCACCTTGTGGCATGTAGAGTGAGTGGGACCTAAAGATGTACAGAAAATGAGGTGAACCCACCTGGCACCCTGATTCTCAGTTTCCAATACTTGAGAAACTTGGTCAGAAAAGCAAGTCAGCAGCTTCTCTGCTGGCATGTTGTCTTTGCCTTGGCAGCTGCAGGGGTGAGATGTGCTAATGATGGGGCCAAGCCGGGCTTTGGGGGTGAAGCCTCAGCTGTTCCCATCTCCCTCTGGCTGAGGCGAAATGAGAACAGCTGGGAAACAAGGCTGGCATATGCTCCCGGAAGCTGCTCCACTGCCAGTGGAGGTGTCAATAGAATTCCATTCATGGGAGCCTTCCAGGAGCATATATGGAATTTGTTCCATACTTTAAAATTCTAATATAGAGAGTGGATTGTATAATGGGGTAAGCTGATGATTGAAACACTCATCTGCATATCTTTGTCACTTTTGGAATGAACAATATGATCCCATGTAGATTGATTTCTCCACTGATTTATCTAGAAAAATCAGATACCTGATTTGTCACTAAAATTTGGGTGTGTCAGATTTATTGTACTCAATTCATTAAGTTTTACTTCCAGTTTCTTAGTGGGGAAAGTCTGTCCCTTTGAGCATAATTTATTCAGCTGCAATAGATGGTCCTCCTGAAAATTCTCTCACAGTTGACACATATTTTACTCTGTCTTCTCTTTTTCTTGTCTCTGCTCACCTTTAAACAGTGCTTTACAATCTTCTTTCTTACTCAGCACAGCGAAGGGCCAGGCCATTGGTCAGTGAGAAAGTGACTTCAAAAGGGATGGCAGAAGGGACTGGATAAGATAGAGTTGGAAAAACCAAGTCAAGACAACCGTTTTAAAGCATTAAAAAATTCCTAATAGAAGCTTCTGCTTCTCTTATGGGCATACATTGACATGAAATAATGAGATTTCTGTACCTTATCTCCCCTGCTGTCCCTTCCGTGTGGATTTAGTGGGTCGAGAGTGCTGTGTGTTCTCGCGCTGTAGTGATGAGGCTGAGAGGTGGCTGGGATCGTGGCCAGGGTTCTGAACCTGGAGTGAGAAGACCTGACTCAGAGTTCTGGCTTGGCCTCTTTTAGCTGTGTGACCTTGAGGAACCTACTAACTCTTTCTGAACTTCAGTTTCCTTATTTGTCAAAGAAAAATAAGGATACAGCCTCCCTCACTGGGTTGGGGTGTCTTGGAAGGCACAAAGTTCTCCGCGTCCACAGCCGCCCTCCCCTTCTGCTCTTGGTAGATGGGTGTACAACTTACCCCCAGAGGTCAGCAGAGGGGGTGGCAGAGGTTTAAGAGAGCAGGACGGTTCTGCTCCTTTTTCTCCCAGCTTCGATCTCATGTTTCAGTCTGTGTTAGGGCATCTCTTTGTTAAAGAGGACCATTCGAGATTGTCCTAATAATGTCAACTCTTTCAAATATCATTTAGTTATAGCAAACAAAACGATTATTAGTTTCCTTCTTCGCCACTGTATAGGACATATCATGGGCTCAGCATAAAGGCTGGAGAAAGAACAAATGATGGCAGAGACCCAGGCCAGGGGCATGGATTTTCCCAGCCCCCAGCTTCCTTTGGCTTCTTGAGAAAGGGAGTTGGGAGGAGAAGTAGGAGTTGAATTGCAAGGAAGATAAAATTTAAAATGCTCATCAGAGTGCTGGGTAGGTGTTAATAAGAATTGCTGTAGAAACAGGAGTCTCTCACATTCTGTGGGTAAAGCATATCTGTAAGCTCTTAACGTTTGTGTTAATTACCAATTAGAGTATGTGATTGCAGTAGTATGACCAGTTAGAGGCTCTGCATCCTTGTGGTTCCAATCAATTCAAATTTAGAACTTTCCAGAATCTGACAGAAATGTCCCACTCTAAGACCAAATGTT